CGAATTTCACGTGCTGGACAGTTATTCTTATTCCTTCGATAAACTGTACGACGCATACCTGATATACCATGCATATATTTAGGTATGAAACATTTCGCGAGTCAACAAAAAATACCTGTATACGCTCGCGTTAGCTGGATAGAACGGCACTTTACAAAAAACCAGACGGTGGCGACTGAACATGCCGGATAACAACGAATATCTTCCGCGACAGAATTGTCCGGTGGACTGATAGAAATTTAGCCTTGTATTTTCATTCTCTTTACCTTAGTTTGGCGGATGGTGATACGAGATATTACATAGAGAGATGTGAATCGCATTGAATACTTCAATGATTTTTCACCCCCTAAGATCGAACACGCCTAACCGCACGCGAACGTCTAAATTGATCTGCTATGCAAGTTAACGTTATCTTCGATAAGATACCTTACACAGAAGCAATTGAATCCGTTCGAACCTGATGACGGGGTAGGTGAAGTGTTCGTTTGCTATTATATCATAATAATTTTGTATAGTATCGCTTCAGCGTAGGTAGCGGTAAATACATACGTAACTTTCTTCGCTAGAATACGTTTACAATTACGTTTAATTCCTTCGTTTACCTTGTTGCTCTGTTTTCTTCTTCTTCTTCTTTTGTTTCGTCTGAGATGTCTGAGAAATTTCTTTTTGAATTCATTCCCCTCCGTGTTCCTTGTGTTCTTACGTACAATCGAAAGCAGTGGAATAGCGTAAATTTTCCTAACTCGATTTTACATCGCAGCGCATGTGCCAGAATCGTGTTCTATCAGAGTTTTCTCACACGCCATCTCTTCGTCGACAGTCTTCTTTTATTTCTTTCAAATCCTTTTTCCCCACGGTTTGCACGCGAACCGTTGCACCGATTACGAGTTTACACATACTATTTTACAACGAAACAATTGCTACTTAATATCGAATGATAATAACTAATTATTACGAACCTACGTTGAAATTGTGAATTTAAAAAAAAAACAGAATATCGAATATTTGATCTAATAAAAAGAAAAAAAAAAGAAACGCATTCATAAAATTGATAATTTAAAATTAATACTGCAACAATTTATAAGGATATTTCAACTGTCGTATGATAAATTGTAGATTCTATTGGAATGAAAGATATAAGTTAGGGTCGTGAGGTTCGAGCATATAAAAAAATACACCCACTATTCCTCGTTAAAAAAATAAATTCATAGGAATATCTCTCTTCTATTGGAACGTTCAACTGTCATATATTTCTTTTTTTTTTTTTTTTTTTTTCGATTGACCGCCACCCGATCGATCGTTGATCGTTATCGAACCTATCTGCGAGTATGCAACTATCTTTTATTGGCGTGTTGTATCTTTGGCAATAGATTTCTGGGCAGACTCGTCTTTACAGATAAAATGAACATCGTGTCAGACTTGTTGCGATGTGATCAAATCGGTTTTACTAGAATTCTTGAGGATCGACGGTCCAGGAAGTTTCTGAGCGGTGCCGGACGTGCTCGATGGTTGCACCATCATTGGCTGACCGTTCACCAGGACTATGGTGTCTCTCACGGAATTGTATCCTCCTGGTGGCCCTGTGTTAGAATCATTTCATGAAAATTTCCTAACGTAAAATTTTCTGATTTTATTGCATTAATATGTTTTCTACATATTTCTTTCACGAATATTCACGAATATTTGTATCTTTGTATGGATCATTTTATACATTATTTTAAAATATTTTCTCTCAAAATTTTTTAACTCGTATAAATTGTACTGTATAAAAAAATTTCTATAAAATGTTTGATATTCTGTTAATGTTTTCTAAATATTTCGAGACTGCACACAGAAACATTTTCTTGTATAATTTTGATTTTTTAACTTGGATATTTCTCTTAGGATCTAGTGAACAGTTACAAGTCGAATATTTTATATGTTACAATTATAATAAACGGTTTGTTTTAAGATGTAAATTTTTGCTTGGAATTCTTGTTGAATTTTAAAGACGAAGATAAAGTTCCACTATTTATATAATGAAAGTTGCTCGCGCGACTAGATCGCAAATATTTATACACATTCGTACTTTCAAGAATGTTGTTAAACAATTAAAACGCGAATAAAAAGATATTTTATCTTCTAAATATAGATAAATGCGCTTTACTTCTGACATTTTTATTCACAGTCTTCATAAATGCACACAGTCTGCAATCAACTCATGACATTTATCCGCGCGTGCATTTATAAAACATGTCGCTCTGTCACAGTATGGCCCACTGCCAAACGATTGATATACCATCAGTTTAAAAATACGAGATACATATTTTCTAGACCAATGCCCGTGGATATCCAGTAACCACGTAAATAAGTAAGTACACAAGTACTCGGTGCAGACGTATCTCATTATCGACCACATCAGCTCGCGCGTAGGCGAAAATCCCAGCACAGATAATCTCGTCCGATATGAGAAAAATATTGTTCCCTCGCACTTATACCAGCGTTAACTCTTTGCTCTCGAGCATAATGCTATCGAGTGTCTATCATCGTTCATTATTATCTGGCATAATTATCATCCGGAAGCCGGAGTTCAATCCGATTATAACCAAAGCTGATGAAAATTGCGATCTCGCTTGCGACCATGCATCCACCGCTTCTTGTATGATGACATTTACTTGCGCGTGACTAAAGGTTGATTAGGTCGCTGATTACCTGGTGACGGCGTGTGAGTGAGCGTTCTCGACGGAGTGGAAGAATTCCTGGCCGCAGGACCCCAATCGGAAGTCGGTTGTAAAAGCATCTTCGCCCGCCACAAAACGTTCTTCCCGTTGCTCTTCTTCGTTCTCCCTCTGCCAGCTCTTTGATACGACGGGCGGTTGTCCAGGTCGTCGTCGTCGTCGTCGTCGTCGTCGTAGGCGGAACGAGGACGCCGGTCCCTCAATTGGCTCTGAAATAAACGAAGTGTTAATAAATATTTGGACGCGTTCACATATTCTGACAGTATTTTGAGAATGTTGATAAACTGGGTAATGAAATTATTAGAACGTTGGTGGTTGACGGAGAGAAGAACTAGTTTATTTCTCTATATAGTATAAATATTAATGCTTTATCGATCAGTCGCTTTCATTATAAATAAAAATGTTTTTTTTTTTTATTGGAGGAATTTTGAGGAAAAAAAATAGAAATTCAATTATTGCTTGTTTCTAATTAATTGAGATTTTGTTTGTTGATATATTGTAACTGCGCATTTGTTAGCAAAATCGAGTGATCGAGGCATTGTAATAATATGGCAATGCGATGTTGTAACAATATAACTACGTGTAAAAAGAATAAAAATAGTGTATGTATTGAGTGCGTCACGAGTATGCAGACCAGAATGATAAATGTAATGGAATGTAAAAATAGAGGAACAAAAAGGAAGAAAAAGCTTATAATGATGAATAAGTATAAAGATAAATGGTTGTAGAAAATATATATGAAGTGTAGAGATTTAGAGAAACATTATCTCTAAATCATTTCTGCTTTGCTTCATTATAATTTACCAAATTTATTTTTATTGCAATAATTAATATATAACTTCACCAAGTAAAAAGTCTTAGTTCAATGAATTACGATTGACACACTTTGACTCACAAGTACTTTGTCATACTAATAAAACTGTTTCTACATTACAATTATACATGACAAAACACTCGAGAGCTGAAAGAAGTTCTGTCTATGCAAGGACTCTTATAATCGGCGTGCCCAATAATCAATATTCCAATAATCGACATTCTATTGTAAACACCAATCCTGAAACTCTCCATTCAATTCCTTCCATTTCAACAGACCGAATACTTTAACCCAAATTACTTTGACGAATCATGTATTTCACGTGGTGGAACAATCTGTCGAAGGATTTAATTTTTACTTACGAGAGCTAAGCCAACGATGACCAGTACTGGTATTATACCGACAACCCATCCAACAATGTCCGCCCATTTCGGATAAACGTAGTCACCGTACTTAAGCGGCTCGTACTCGACCCAATTGAAAAACAGAATGAAAAAGAGCGTCGCTGGTGTAATCACTTTCCACATCCAGGTCCAGAAAAACCTCCAGAGACGACTGCGTGGTCCGATCATCTGCTGCACGTCGTCGAGAAATCGATCCGCACCGTAGATCCACGCGACCAAGATACACTCGCATATAGCGATCAGTAACACCGACCAATTCGCCGCGTATTTGTCCATCAATTGCAACCAGTACATGCCAGCCTGGAAGTACAGCGGAAACATGATATTTTCATTGAATGAAATCTTGTGGGATTAAATGTGATTTATACGTTGAAAGATTCAAAAGATTGAATCTACTTTTTAATTTGGATAAAGAAGACATAATATACGTGGATTATTTTTTTTTTTTGTTCTAAGATTTTTTTTAAGATTGTAATAAAATGGAAATGCGTGTAAACTTACGTTGGTAGTGAAAACGATACCACCGGCGTAACCGAACACGGCTGCCGCCAGGACAACCCATAATTTGTAACTTCTCAGTGCTGGGAATGCATCGAGAATCGCTGTGGTGACGGTCTCCATCAGAGCAAATTGAGAATCGAGGCCCAAGGTAAGCAACATCACGAAGAAGAGCAGCGACCAGACTGGTGCAACTGGTAAACGAGCTACTACCTATTTTTTTGATATTTATTTTCTTAAATAACGTGGCATTTAAAGTTGAAATATTGTATGCTAAATTCTAGATGAAGGGCCTGTAAATACAGGAATATATTTAACACAAAATGCAACAACAGACTGAAAGATAAGGTAACAAAATAACTAATAATAATTAATAAGATAATTTTACTCTCTCATATAATAACTTCAATATGCCTATATATCTTTAAGAACAAACTAAATAATAATTTCTATAATTTATTTCTCTTAGTGAATTTAACTGGAAAATTATTTAATCGTATAAATATTATCAGTACATACCGAGTACGTACCATATTTTATTATTAATTGTACTAATAGTAATTTTTAATCGATTTACCTCGGGATAAACAATGAACGCTAATCCAGCACCCTGATCAACGACAGACGCGACAGGGACGTCGAGCTCGTGGGCCAGGAAACCGATCACAGAGAAAATGACGAAGCCAGCGAAGAAGGAAGTGCCGATATTGCTGACGGCGACGATCAACGAATCCTTGTAGCAATTGTTGGTGAATTTGTTGTAGGAGCTGAGCGTAATCAGACCGCCCCAAGCGGGGCTCAAAGCGAAGAATATCTGCACCGCGGCGTCGCCCCACACTTTCGCGGACATCAGCCTTTTCCAATCGGGCGTCAGATAAAAGAGAATGCCCTCGTCGGCGCCGGGAAGTAAAATTCCCCGAATGAAAAGAGCGATCTACGAACAGAAAACACAGTTCTCCGTTTGTAATTCTCCTTTCCACGTTAGTTCGAATCGACGAAGGATTGCGAG